GAAATATTCGTATTATTGCTTAAAGTACCATATTGACAAAGTTTTCTATTTATACCTGCATATATTGGGACCATTTCGTGCCTTCAAGATCAAATAGTAGCTACTCTTCACGAGATTTGAAGAAGAACTAAGCGACGCGCAAATCGAAGACTATCCTCGATCCGGCGCCATTTTGTTTTTTTTCCACAGGGAATCCAATTTGTTAAAACACAGGGTGACCAGAGAGGGATTTAATGTACACCTTCTCCTGACATCTTTGCGGAGTGTTTACATAGGTAGGGTACATACCAAAATATATTTCTACACTTTTGAAAATGTTTCGCAAAATGCAGATCAGTCCTTTGTGAAATATTCGCATTTTTGAAGAACCGTATTGACTAAGTTCTCTGTTTATACAGGAGCCCATATACGGGTAAAAGATTTGGAAAAAATACATTCTGACGCCCTCTGCCCCCATTTTTTGTTGTTGCTAATTTAGCACTCCTTAAAACTGCAGACAATTTCTAGGCCTAGAAATAAGGATATATTCGACAACAACTATAATTAGTATTATAACGTGTTGTGATTCTGTACCACTCAGCTGTTTCAATAGGAGCCGACGGGGTTTGTTCTTCTAAAGTAACTCTATTCTTATGAGTTTTTCCTTGGAAAGGGATATTGAGCTACATTGTTGACAATCTAACAAGCAAAATGGCGCCCTGCCTTCCTTCTTTAAAATAATTTTGTTCCTAGCAAATGATTAAAATTTTAAGGTCAAAAAATGCAATTATAATATATAACATTATTACAATATATTTTTTTATGGTCCTAAGGAATTTTTATTCCTGGCAAACGTTTTTATGATCAAAAGCGGCTTATATTTTTTTTAGTTAGAAAATTTTTAATTATTTTCCTGGCAAAAATTCTTAGAAACTATTTCTTACCTGGAGTGTACTTTTCTCATGAATCTCGCTGGCAACCAGTTGTGACTTACAGCTGGCTGGGACTATCTAGCCTGTGTACATCCATTTCTCACCCCTCCAAAACCTATTTTTTTGGAGGGGTGAGAAACAGAATGATGTACACAGGCTATAAACTATTTAATTGGATTCCCTGTGGAAAAACAAAACAAAAACAAAATGGCGCCGGATCGAAAATATATGTTTTCAAGGCGCATAGTTCTTTTCATTCTTCAAATCTCGTGAAGAGTAGCTCCTATTTGATCTTGAAGGCACGAAATGGTCCCAATATATACATGTATGAATAGAAAACTTTGTCAATATGAATAATACGAATATTTCGCAAAGTGCAGATAAATTATCAGCACTTTGCGAAATATTTCGCAAAATGCAGATAAATTATCAGCACTTTGCGAAATATTTCGCAAAGTGTAGATGTGCACTTTGCGAAACGAAATATTTCGTTTCGTTTCGCAAAATTTGAAGATGTTGGTTGACTGGGTTAAGATTTTATAGACGAAGAGAATAACAAGAAGTTTCTTAATACAAATATTTCGGACGACATCCATCGTCCATCATCAGTGTATTAACCTGACTATAAAGTTAGAGACCGCTAGACGAATTGAAGAACGTATCCAGGATCACGGAACTAGAGATAAGAAATCAACAATCTACAAACACAGCGAAACAACACATCATGAACATGTCAACGAAAGTAACTTCCAAATATTAGCCGAACACTATGCTTGGGAACAAAAACGAAAAATCGCTGAAGCTGTCCTTATAAAAGAACATAATCCTGATCTTAATGAGCAAGGACAATCAGTTCCTTTGAAATTATTGAACTGAACGATAACATGCAATCTCTAGAGAATATTGAATATTATAATTTATTTAAATTTTTTAACTTTATAGTCAGGTTAATACACTGATGATGGACGATGGATGTCGTCCGAAATATTTGTATTAAGAAACTTCTTGTTATTCTCTTTATTTCGCAAAATCCTGATTTCGCAAAATGCTGTAAGCCGACACTTGCCGTATCGCGCGTTACGGTACCGTAAGCTGTACCGTAAGTTCGATCGTTGATTGGGTAAATACGGTGCTCGCGTAATACCGTCTACTTTAGCCGTATCGTGAGTGTGATTCCTGATTGGCTGAGAGACTTTCTAATGACAACTGGTCTACGTCATCTTGTCACACAACACCTAGCTGCTGAATTCTCGCCACCTGTTTTTGCGAACTTGTTTTCGACAGAAAATTCGATCAGAAAAGCCTTTTAAGGATGAATGTCAATGGGAATCAGTTTTTTGTAAGTAGAGATTTTATAAAATGACTGGCTGATGTTGAGATTTCAAGATTATTATATCAATATTCCTCTATTTTTTCGGCATTTCGAGACCTCGGGGGGGACCAGGGCATTTCCCACAAATCGGTCTGGCGCCCGCCGCCGCCCCCGCCGAGCCCCCCAGGCCGTTTTCCTGACGAAACCATAACCACCCCAACCCCTCGTGTGAAGCCCACATACCCCCTTCCCACATGCCCTCGAGACTCGCCGCGCCTCCCAGCCGGTTTTCCTCACGTCAGCAAAACTGTTACGAACACGGTGTGAATCATACCCACTTCCCACAATCCCCTGGGCCCCGTTGAGCCCCCCAGCGGATTTCGGTACAAGAAAGTAACCGATAGAGGGAGTGGGAACCCTGTGTTAAGACCACATACCCCCTTCCCACATGCCCGAGAGCCAAGTCTCCGAGCCAGTTATGATAATGGGAACCCTGGTATATCGAGTAGACCACCCCTCCCCATCAAACGATTGGGAACCCATAGGTAAGCGATTTAGACCTTCGTCTGACGAAGTGTATACCGTTCACGATGAGA